TGACTTCTGCCCCAAAGCTATTCCTCTAAAGAGGAATATTCTTTAGGATTCAGAAGCTATATTGAGTATCTACTAGTTGTGAAGTTTTCTTCCACTTTCAAATCTTAGGTGTTACAAGTGGTGACAACTTACAAGGCATCATATTGAACAAGAATTCTGAAAAGCACAAAATAAAATTCTCTAGATCAACAAATACACACTAGACTTAAGAGTACAGTGTATTTTAACCAGTATAAACCAAATTTCATAATAATAGCTTTCTCTTTGTAAATAAATAGAAAACCAGTGTAAATTAGTGTATGTGCATAATTTGTCACCCAGGTAAATAATAAATCCAATAGGTATAGAAGCTAAAACTTTATCATAAATGGAAGAAAAATTATTCTTTAAATGGCCTTCCATCATCCTACTTTATCTAGTCTTATTTTGCTGTTCATTCCTCTTATTTAGGTTAACTGGAGTTTTTTTTTTTCAGTTTTTTTTTAAACAATTATATTGGAAGTTAATACATATATCATATTCCATCATTCAATCACATCAAGCAGTATTGTGCAATTGCTACCGCAATCAGTTTCAAAACAAATCAGTTTCAAAAGAAAATGTTGAAAACCAGATCAGGCCTAAAGCGCATTAGAGGGGGGAATCAACTGACAAGACTTAAACCATTCAAATCAGGTTTAGCACTCTATTTTCCTCCCATTCCTACATTTGGATAGAGGGAAGTCGCCGGAGGCTTATTTCCTATGTGGATCCCACAAATGTAACTGGGATTCCCACTGTCATCCATAGCCTTCTGCAAACCAGATTCTCACAATTTAGGCTCTGATACGATTCCCTCCTTCGGTTTAGGATTATATGATTGATAACCTTTGGTGACTGCTGCTTGTGTGCTTCTTCTACATGAACTTATTTGAAATTTCACTTAGATGGCTGCTTGTTTGGAAATAAGCCTTGAAGATCCCAGACACTATTTTATCTGATAGCCGGGCACCATCTAATTTCTTCACCACACTTTGCTATAGCATGCATACCTTCTTTATTCCCTACCTGAGGGTGAGTATTCAGCAGGGCCATCATGTAAGAACCAATTGTTCTTACATTGGAGCTAGAATTTAGTGCGAGCCCCAAACCCTTTCCTGGATCTATGTTGGGGGTTTTTTTTGTATCTGCCTTTGGCTCCCTTTCAAAACCTCCTTATTAATTTTTGGCAGAGTCTTATCAATCATCCCCCTGGGGCATAACAGTCTTCCATTAATATCATCTTTTATTAGCCCCTGGTACTAATTTTTTAAAGCCCTGTTGAGAGAGGGATATTGTGCCAATGCAGGCTCACTCCAAGTCATTCTCAGTGAACATTACTGTAAAATTCCCCTGACAGTTAGCCCCATTGTTTGTGTAATTAGCATCCAGCCAGGAAAGGGCTCAATCTGTGCACGTAAATAATTCAAGTGATCTTGTTTTAATACAATATTTTGGTGCTAATTTGCTATTTCTTCCTTATAGCAGATTAAAGAAAGAGTAAGCAAAGAAGAAATTTATTTGATACATAAGATTTCTAAGACACAAAAGATACGAAGTAATAATAACAATATATAATTGATCAAGGAATCCTGAGGGTGGGAGGGTGGGGGGAGGGAGGAAACAAAAGAGGAACTCAAGTAGAAAATGTTTTGGAAATGATGATGGCAACAGATGTACAAATATGCTCGATACCATGGAGGTAGGATTGTGATAAGAGCTGTAAGAGCCCCCAATAAAATGATTTAAAAAAAAAAGATTTCTAAGACAGAAGAGACTTTTAAGTAACTGATTCAAATGGGTAGTGATTATGTAAATAATTTTAAAAGTATAGTCCTCTTCCCCTATCCTCTTTTGACAGCTAGCCGAGCTGAAACAACCATTTTCAAACTAGCATTCGGCTGTAGTATAAATACGTGCCAATAGGCCTTATCTCATAATCTCCATATAATAGTAAAATTGATAAAAAGAATATGAAATGACAAAATTCTAATACCTTTGAGATTTTAAAACTCAAATTGTTACTGAATCTATCCATATAACTCTCTAATTCTGTCTCAATTACAATATTTCAAGTGATCATTCAACATATCATAGGGTTACAGTAAAGCAGTTAAAAGATTCAGCTTATCCTCTGTATATTTAGGTTTAATTGTAGACTGATGACAACTTCCCAGACTCCAGAGCTGAAACCTTAGCCTCTCCCTCAGATTTGTTATATTTTATTTTTAGATGTAATCACTTCCCTCCGGAAAATGGTTAGTGACCACACGCACAGGTCTGCACATGAGGAAACTAAAAAGGGAACAGTAGGTTGTGAATCAGATACACACACACAGAGTCCCCTGCCAGACCATGCCCAAGCGTCATAGTCTTCAATAATCCCCGTGGCAGTGCTGTGCTGACATTCTCAATTAATTCAGATGGGACTTGAGGTTAAGCAATTTCATTGGCACATTTAGTGCCAGTCCCTTTACTAGCACCTTCTACCAAAGGGGCATGATGAAACTCAACCTGAGTTTTTTCTCCATTATTTCTCCTTTGTGCTATGTAACTCTTGTTGTAATAATCCACACTGGTTTTCAGTGTGTGCTCTTAGGAAAATCTTTTTAAAATCTTAATTAGGCAATGTATACTGAGCCAGAATATAGACATTTTGTTAATTGTACATACACTGTAACCTTGTAAAAGGTCTGAGATGCGACAGCCTCAAGGGCAAAACATTCAAGGAAGTCAAAAAATGAGAGTGTTATTGAAAACTAAAATATAATTAATTCATTAAATATAACAAAATAAAAAGGAACTTTGAGAAAAAATGAGTAAAAAGGAAAAGAAATATGTTAACTGTCCCAAAGATTTCTATTTCTCAGTGTGCTTTCCTCAGACATCCTGAATTAGTTCCGCAGGGTCGCTGTGGGGGAAAGGCCTGGTGATGGAGTAGTTATGAGGCCTTCACTGCACAAGGCCACGGGCCACCAGCTGGAATCCACGCGCTGCTCTGCAGGAGAAAGATGAGGCTCTCTACTGCTGTCAGAAACTCACGGGCCAGTCCTACCATGTCTAGAGGGCCTGATGAGAATACAGTGGGAGGTTCTCATTTCTTTTCACAGAGGTATGAAGTTTATGGGGGACCAGAATGCAACTAACAGCGTCACTACAAGCTGGAATAGACTGATGGCAGTGAGTTTTTGAGGGGTGCTATGTAGATAAGAGAAGGTTTGCTGTTCCCATAAAGAGTGTCCGAAACCCTCGGGGCAGTTCTGCCCTGTCCTATGGTATCACTGTGAGTTGGAATCAACTCAAGGAACTGACTTTGCTTTGAGGGTCATTATGGCTCAGAACTGACTAAATGGCAGTGAGGCTTTTTTCCTTTTCCTTTCTCGTTTTCTTTTTTGAAAGGAACATGTTAACCCCCCCCGCCCCCCTTATGGCTCTATTGAGTGTCAAACCTCAAAGTTGGAGGTTCAAAGCCACCAGGCCTCTGCTTTGGAAGATGAGTCTGTCCGTTCCTGTAAAGATTTACAAAGCCTTTGAAATCCTCTATAGGTCACTATGAGTCAGAATCAACTCAATGACAGTGGATTTGGGGAGATTTTTACAAGTAGAAATAACAGAATCTCATCTTAGCCTGCTGTTGTACAATGAAATCTGAGAGGGGAGACCCAGAAATTTAGTATCCCAGGTGATTCCTATTTGCATTCAAATTGGAGGACCATTTCTGCAGATCCCTCAAATCATCTTAATCCTTAAGAACATTATTACATATAGTTGTTACCTAAAAACTGTCCTACTCAACTAAAGGTTCACTTTCCTTTCTAACCAAGAGTTTTCTCCTCTCTGATGAAATTGCAACACATATTATTTACATAATGTCTTAGCAACACCAGAGTAACCACCACCACGCATGTAATTTTTCCATGACCTTACTACTGATTTATTTCTCACTGAAGATAGTAAATGTTTTGCCCCAGAAAAGCATGACAGCCATAAGATGCTATTTATACAATGATGAAATATCCAAAATGTCATGCAGATTATTTTCAGAAATGCATTCCCTGACAAACTACTACAATATTGTAAGACTTCCATAATACTACAAGAAACTAAAATGTATAATATCTGTATGAAATTGTTTTTATATGTGACTTAATCCAAAATCTGTGCTGAATGAGTTCACGCCTACTCAATAAAAAGTAATAAATATTCACAAAAATAAGCACAATAAGACCCACAGTGTCTGGTCCCATCAAATCTATAACCTGTACATAGACGAACTGAAGTTTCTTTTACATCGGAGTTAGTTTCCTTTTGCTTAGCAAACACTTTCTTCAATGTGTCTGGTAGTTCAACTTTGTATTAAGTACATTTAGGTGAGTAATTTACACATGCTGAAATATCAGGTAAAACATTTATTTAAATCAGCCACATGATATGTTTTTTTTAAAATCAAAGGTGAAAATAACTGTCTCAAACTGCCACCAAAACTTTTGAAATATTTGTGATTGATAAATTTAACAATTGAACAAATATATATATTTTTAATTTAAAGAAGCCCTCTAAAGGTATGCCACCCTTCCATGAGCCTCTTCTGAGATACTACAAACACTGACATATAGTTAAGCAGCATTTTATACCCCCTTTTCTGCTTTTCATTTTTCCCTAATTAACATTATATATGTTCTCTATTTCTCCCAATCAGATATAAGTATTTTTTTACTTAGAGTTTAAAGTAAATTCTCAAAAAAGCAAAGGGAGAAATATTTAGTGTCTTATATGTGAGGGTCCAATATGGAAGCAGAATAAATTATTATTTATTCTGCAATAGTAGATTTAATCTTAGGGTACTTCAACTTTAACTAGGCTTGCTTTATTTTTAAAACGTGATTTACATATGATGAACGACAATTGGTGCCTGGGGAAAGAGGTCTCCGGCATACCTGGCTTGTCCCGGACTGTCACGGAAGTGGACGCAGGAAGCAGGAAGACCGCCACCCAAAGCCAAAGTCTCCAAGACCTCGCGTGCCTCATGGCGCCTCGAAACCATGTGAACCAGCAGCCACAGATCTGCAACAGAAAAAAGATCAGTTTACTGTACCAAAGGTCAGTTCACTGCACATCTTGCCCTTCAGTGCTACCTCCAGAAAACCTTCATCACCGAAGAGAAAGAAGTACATTTTTAATAATTTTATAGTTCTCTTAATTGACCCTATGATTACATAAGCAACGTTTGCATAGTCCATCTGTATTAAAGATCTCTGAACACATTTCAGATTAATTTCTAAGTTAATTTTTAATGCCTATGTAGACTCTTCTCTCTTAAATGCTCTTTAAAAGTCACATTTATAAAGGTTTATATATTTTTAAAATATAATTTTACTGTTCATAATTCTGTTTTCTCCTCTAGATATTAGGTTTAGATATTTTGGTTTAAGTAATGCTATTGTGCTTTTGAGAAACTTCACCATGTTGTTATTAGATTCAATAATCTCTGCTACTAGGGTGAGCATTGCTCAGATAAAAAGTAATCTTTCTTTTCTACTTAAAGAGAAAAAATGAATATATGTAATGGCAGCCATGCACACACCTACCATTGGCATCATATTTATCATTAACATGTTACTTCCCAAAACTGTTGGTCTTTTACAATGCCAACTGCTATTTTTCAGGTATTATATTAAAAGAGATAGTAAGTATATATCTGCAAAAGCTTAAACTCATTTAAATTAAAATTTTAACAAAATAATTAACATGGATATGAATTGCAAGTAAAAATAGAGTGACACCTTTGGTTTATTTGACAATTTCAGTATGAATAGAATAGCTATTCTAAGACTTCTAAATGTGTAAATTAATATTTTTTGCTATCAATCAAACTTTAATCAAGTCAAACGTAAGAGAACTTGTCATAGCAATGTCTAAATTCTGTCAATAGACATTCTTTAGAAAAAATGCTACAGCCCCCAACTTGTTTGGTATTCTAAGTTTGCTAAGTACCCCAAGATCAGCATTTTTAAATTAATTCAAGGTTTTAGATATTTCTGGATGAATAGCTGGAAGCAGCAACTGCAACATTAAAACTGTATGTGTGGTTCTAAATATCAACCAGCTGGCTTTATGATTTTTTCTCTTGAACTCTTTCATCTAGATATAGTCCCAATCCTCGTATGACTTTACAAACCTATACTACCATTTCAAGTTAGTGGGTAACTTTTTAAATAGTAATTAATTCTATTTAAAGTAAGATACATTTACAAATATTAATTTGCTTTCCAGAGAGATCTTTGGTTATATTTGCACTTTAACCCAAGTAATTCTATTAGTTGAATAACTGGCTGTATGAAATAATGATATCTCCTAATAATACTGATATCTCTTGAGTCTGAGGTTGATAATGATATGCAGACAGTTAAAAAGGTGCCAAAGCATCATAGAAATAAATGTATGTTCTTGAGCAGTTGGCGTCTGTTGAAACAACACAGCCAGGAATCAATAAAACCATGAGCATATGAGCTCAATATCAAACTCCCTCAGCAATTTCCTCGAGTCACTTACAGAATGAGAGCCTTTCATTGCAAGGTCATTGGTATCATGAGCCTCATTTAGCCAAAGTGTTTCAAGAGTTAGATGTGGGTTTAGTTGACTAGATCGTCCAGTTAATGAAGAGTTTCCATTTCACCCCTCCACTGTAATGCATTTATACAAGGTCACCAAGAACTTAAGAGACTCCTTTTGCTCTTCACCTTACTAAATCTTAGTGACATTTTGGACCAGATTGACCGCTCCATCTGGGAAACCCTCACTGTCATTGACACCCTCCTTGTTGGCTTCTCTGACCGTCCTCTGGGCTATTTCCTTCTAAAGGACCTCCTCAGGTCTGTATTCTTTCTGAGCTCTTAAAATGGAGGTCGTAATCGTGAGATCCACCCCTCTCTCCTTACAGCAGGTCCTCAGATGAGCTTTCCGTTTTCTTGGCTTTAAATAGTATCTGTGAACAAATGAACCTAAAATTTACATCTCAGGTCCAGTAGTCCTCATCTCCGAAATTTAGATGGCATACCCAGTGCCTAGAGAACACCTACAGATTGAACTGCTGATCGTCAACGACAACCTGTTCCCTTCATATTCTTCTTGATCTCAGTAAGCAACATGTTCAAATGAGAAAGCCAGGCATAATATTAATTCCATATCACCATGCCCAGCATCCGGATCCTCAGCAAAGTCATGGTAATAGTCAGTGCCATTTCTAAAGGAGTGTGGGCATGTGAACCATGCCAGAGATTTCAAATGGGGTGACACCAAATGACTTGATAAAGTTTATCTGTATTTCAGCAAAAACTATATTAGTTTTCATAAAAATATCCTTATGGTTAGTTATTACAATGAAAACATCTTCATAATACAGCTAAGTCTATCAATACACCCACCAGCCTAAAATTCTATGCTAATTTCCTTTTGGAATCTTTTGATGCACTCTATAAAGAGAGGCTGTTATTACTCGTGTGCATAATGCTTTGAATTACATGGTTTGGCCTGTACACATCACAAGCACGTGCTGATGTTTCTGTTGCTGCCAATGTTTTTTGCTGATTTTGTCAAACTTTCTGGCGTTTTAGCTACAATATGGTAGTAAATAAGATTTGTGAACCTATATCAATTTTCTGAGAATTAAGTAGAAATTTAAAGAAATAAAGGAGAACATTTTTTTAACTTACACTCAGTTATTAATTATTATTGCAACTCAGCGTAGAAAGATTTTACAGAAAAATTTGTTTTAGCATTCATATCATTTGATAAATACTGCATTTAAATAATTGACAACCATCTGTATCACATATAGTTCTATGAGGAAAATTTATAGTAATCATTACTAAGGATTCTATATGGTTGGTAGAGGAGGAGGCTCATGGGAAAGAGGTGATACCATGAGTTACTGCCCAGGGTGCCATCAACCCTAATGACACCACTGTTATTGTTAGTCCTAAACATGAATCTCCATTGCTCTGCCACGATCCTAGTTTAGGCTACTTTGGGTCTGGATGCTCAACAACTTCCTAACTAGTACCATACTCATTATTGTCCCTTGACTAAATTCTTTCTCTGTACAGCAACTGGAGAGTACTTTTAAAAATGAACATTAGACCATGTCCCTTTCCTGATTCAAATCCTGTAATGGCTCCCTATTGCATTTCACATGTAATCCCAAAGCTTTTTCATGATTTATAGTGCTTGCTACTAGTTGTCATCTCATCAGTTTTGACTCGTGGTGATGCATAAACTACAAGAGAAAATGTCACTGGGTCCTGTGCCGTCTTCATGATTGTTGGTGTGCTTGAGTTCTCAATCCAGCATCTTAGACCGCGCAACCACATTACTGCCTATATTGAGTTCTAAAGTTCATTGTTATGGCTATTGTGTAGTGCATTCAATATGGGACTCAACTTCCAGCACTATATCAGATAAGCTCCTGTGATCTAGGCTTTCATTGGCTAATTTTCAGAAGTACTTTATAGGCCTTTATTCTTAGTCTGTCTTAGTCTGGAATCTCTGGTGAAGCCTGTTCACCATGGGTGATCCTGATGGTATTTGAAATAATTGTGGCATAGCTCCCAGAATCACAGCAATATACAGGACACTACTGTACGAAAAACCGACAGACTAATTGATGATAGTTTCTATGACCTCGATGTTCTGAATAATTTGGCCCCCATCCACTTCTCCAGTCTCATGTGGTACCACTTTCTTCATCAAAATTTTGTTACTCAAATTCCAAGGTTTTTTCCAGCCTTAAGGCTTTTGTCCATGCTATTTTCTATATATAAGCACCTACATCTGATCACTGTGTCCTCTCATCCCATTATTCTCTAGTACAGATTGAATTCTGTCTGTATTTGTATGTTTATTGTCCCACAACAGCACTAAGCTTCATGAAATAGGGACTGACTGTCACGTTAATCACTGCTTCCTGGGTGTTAAACACAACACCTAGTCAAGAAATATCATAAATATTTGTTAAAGAAAGAGAGAACAAAAAAATGAGAGAGAGAGATTGTCAATTTTTAAGTCTTCAGATACAATGATTTGCTGGGTAAGTAAAAAAATATTGCCACTGGGTTCATATAAGCATGGGTCTACACCAAACAAAAAATGTTTAAACATGTCTGTGCATCAGTGGATGGCCACAGACAAGTTTTCTCAGTAATATAATTGTCTTCATCTCTTTAAGATTACTTAATTTGTTTTTAAGTCAAATCTAAACAGTGGCTTCTCTGGGGATGTGCTGGGTCAATTAAATTGCAGGACGCAAAGTCAGCTCAGAAAGTTGTGGAACACTGGGGTGAAACACAAAGGGAGTACAACAGAGCAGCAAGGGGAGCAAAGCGAGCAAAGTCCTCGCGGAATCCTGAAAATGGACTTCAGACTCAGAGGGCAGGGCTTGCCACCTCATCAGACTCGATCGGAAAACATACATAAGGGTCAGCAAACAGACCTGGAACTATAGGCCACTTTTCTTCTTCTTCTTTTTTTCATGTCTAGCTATATAAGATAGGCAAGATAATAATCCTGAGGAGAAAACAATGGAACTTCTGGTCCTGGGGTGACAGGGAAGAGGGGAAGGTAGGGGAAAAGGAGGGGGGAGCCAACAAACCCAGGACAAGGGAACAAGAGACCTAAATTCAATGGCGAGAAGGGTGTAGAATGCCTGGTGGGGTTTGATCAAGGACAATGTAGCCTAGAGGAGATACAGAGAGCCAAATGAAGGTCAAACACGATAGTCGGGCAGGATGGAAGGAACTAGGAAGCAAAAGACATTTACTGAGGTATAAATATAGGCATGTATACATGTAAATATATTAATATATAAAGCTAGGAATATCGGTCTATGTACATATATTTATGTTAAGTATTAAGGTAGCAGATGGACATTGGGCCTCTACTCAAGTACTCCTTCAACACAAGAATACTTTGTTCTTATAACCTGGCATTCTGTGATGTTCACCTTCCCTACATGATTGTTGAAGGCAAAGTTGGTACATAAGCA